GACATTTATCATGAACATTGAAATATAATAATACTTTTATTATTGCCTCTAGGGCATATTTCCAACACAAACACACCGCAAAAAGAAGATTACATCGAATAGATCTCCACAAGAGAGGGGGAGAACATTGTATTGAGATCCGAAAAGAGAGAAGAAGCCATCTAGCTAATAACTATGGACCCAAAGGTCTGAGGTAAACTACTCACACTTCATTGGAGGGGCTATGGTGTTGATGTAGAAGCCCTCCGTGATGGATGCCCCCTCCGGCGGAGCTCCGGAACAGGCCCCAAGATGGGATATCGTGGATACAAAAAGTTACGATGGTGGAATTAGGGTTTTGGCTCTGTATCTGATCGTTTGGGGGTACGTAGGTATATATAGGAGGAAGGAGTACGTCGGTGGAGTAATAGGGGGCCCATGAGGGTGGAGGGCGCGCCTGGGGGGGGGTAGGCGCGCCCCCACCTCGTGACCTCCTCCTTTGTTTCTTGATGTAGGGTCCAAGTATCCTGGATCATGTTCGGTGAGAAAATCACGTTCCCGAAGGTTTCATTCCGTTTGGACTCCGTTTGATATTCCTTTTATTCGAAACCCTAAAATAGGCAAAAACAACAATTCTGGGCTGGGCCGCCGGTTAATAGGTTAGTCCCAAAAATAATATAAAAGTGGATAATAAAGCCCAATAATGTCCAAAATAGTAGATAATATATCATGGAGCAATAAAAAATTATAGATACGTTGGAGACGTATCAATGGTAGGAGTGTGCTATTAGCTATAGCGTTTTCATGTTTTGAGCTATGAGGAAGGCCATAGGTAGCTGAAGACAAGTGTTTGTGCCAAGATTCTTGAGGGTGATAAAGAGAGTTATTTTTATGATTGGGTCCTTTAGTTGCTACTAGAGGCAGGGGTTTAAAGTTATGAAATATGTGACAGTGATGGTTGTATTCACGAGACCTTCCCTTCATTCGCAGTCATCGGACATCGTTGTTGGCCGCTCTTTGGTATACCCATTTGCCTGAATTAAGGCTATATACACGACCCGACGTTCACTAGTTCGCATCGCTACCTTCCAAACCTCTAGGTTATAGCAGTTTGTCGCATGTACTCCCTTGCCAATGCCAAGGGGTTACTTGCAGGAGGAAGTCACGTTGGTGCCAAACTACTCGCCCGCCATCACTTGAGTTTTATACCCATCTCTCAATTTAGCTTTCATCATGCGAGGTCCATATATTGTATCCATTGGCTACCCATCATGCACAGGAATACCTCATGGGTTTGAGCATGGGTGCCAGTTTGTGTCCATAGGCATTGAAGTGAGCGAGTATAGAAATAAAGGGGTTGTTTGGATTGTGACTACCTTTGCCATATGTTGCCATATGATTTTTGCCACACTTGCCTTAGTTGAGTTGCTCAAATTGTTAGCCACACTTTTGCTTGCCTAAGGGAATCTTGCCACACTTTTTGTGTCTATGACATGTGGGGTTCACTGCTCATAAAAAAATCATTGCCTTAGGTGTGGCTAGAACCAAACACCTACCTAACATGGTCAAACTTGCCTAAGGTTAGGTGTGGCAAAGTATGGCAAGGTGTGGCTGGGAACCAAAGTATGTGGGTATGAGTTTGGGCAGGAGGAGATTGTACCCACCCATACCACCATGAAAAATTAAGACCAATTTTTATGAGCTGGATTTTATAAAAGAAGTATAACTTTCTTTCTAGCAATAAGAGATGATACAATGTAAAAATATAAAAATATTGCAGGTAAAGTGCACAAGATCTAGGTAATCAATAAGCTTGCACCACATGAAAGCGTAATTTATGTATTTGAAGAAGTCAAACATCATGCCTAGTCAGCAATCACAATCATAATACATGAAAAAACATGCCTTTGACCACCTTAGCCCCCCTTTTGACCCACGCGGACGAAATTTGTATAGTGTTGAGTATCTTGTATATGTGGTTATATGTTGAAAGTCCCGGTCTTCTAAATGCAATTAACACTTGCTACCCCAAAATATATTTGCTTCTCCCACTAAAAACAATATGATTTGATATGCCCTTTTGTCAGGTAAACGAGACAGTCAAATGTAACAACATATTCAAAAACACATATATAACGAGTAAACACAATACACACGGAGACAAGCACATGACTCGGTGGTTAGCCGTGCCAGTCACTCGGTGGTTACCCCAAATATATTTTCCTTGTCCCAGTCACAGATACCTTATGTATCGCGTTTGATCATGTACTCCTTGTATACGCCGAGGCTAAAAACACACGCAATTCGCACACCATGCTCACCAATGCACGTGCAAATACTAATAACTAAACTAAAAGCATCGCAACTGCTACACAAACCTGCTTAAAATAAAGTTATTCTAACATAGACAACTGCTACACAAATACTAACAAATTTGTTAGGGGTTTAAAGTTATGGAATAGGTGAGAGTGGTGGTTTTTATTCATGAGACCTTCCCTTCCTTCACTATCATCGGACATCATTGTTGGCCGCTCTTTGGTATATACCCATTGGCTGAATTAAGACTATCAACATGCACAGACATTCACTGGTTCGCACGGCTACCTTCCAAACCTCTAGATTATAGCAGTTTGTCGAGTGTACTCCCTTGGCAACGCCAAAGGGTTACGTGCAGGAGGAAGCCATGTTGGTGTGAGACTACTCACCCGCCATCACTTGAATTATATATATATATATATATATATATATATATATATATATATATATATCCATTTTTAAATGTAGCTTTTGTCATGCGAGGGTTATATACTGCACCCATTGGCTACCCATCATGCACAGGAATACTTGATGGTTTTGAGCATAGGTGCCAGTTTGTGCCCATAGATATTGAAGTGATTGGGTATAGAAAATTACATGGGTATGAGTTTGGGCGGGCACTATGAAAAAGTAAGACCGATTTTTATGAGTCGGATCTTGTAAAAGAAATATAACTTTCTTTCTAGCAACATGAGGATGATATGATGTAAAAATATATAAAAAAGTTGCAGGTAAGTGCACAGTCAATAAGCTTGCATCACATGAAAGCGTAATTTATGTATTTTTTAAAGTCAAACATATATGCCTAGTCAACAGTCACAGATCACTGATTTATGAAAAATCCAAAAAGAATAATACATAGAAAAAACATGCCTTTGACCACCTTAGCCCCCCTTTTGGACCCATGCGAACCAATTTTGATGAGCCCTGACTATCTTCTATATGTGGTTATATGTTGAAAGTCCCAGTCTTCTAAATGCAACTAGGACTTGCTACCCAAAAAAATAGTTGCTACCCCCGCTAAAAAGAATATGTTTTGATATGCCCTTTTTGTCAGATAAATGAGACCGTCAAACGTAACGAAATATTTAAAAACGACATATATATCGAGTAAACGCAATTCACACATGAAAACGAGCACGTGGCTCGATGGTTCCATGCAGCCCAGCCCGCCTAAGTTTGATCCATGGGATCATCTCGTCTCAGGTAAATCTGAGAACGGTTTCATACTTAAACCATACTTGAACCATACCCGTACATGTATCTCTCAAAACTATACTTGAACCATACCCGTTTAATGCCATTTTCAGCCCAACCAAAACTGAACCATCTATTTTTTCCACCCAAACCAAGTTAAACCCAATACATAACCGTGGGTTTAAACCCAATACATAACTATGGGTTTGCTTCAATGTATATATGATTGCACAAATCGACATGTCAAGAAGCAAATGGTATAGAAAAGATATAAGCGCATCTACAATAGTTTGGGAACAAAGTTATCGTTGAGATACGGTCAACACACAACAAGTGTCAAAAAGACAATGCCCACTACTAAAAAGCTCACTGACAAGTGTATTAAAACCAATTGCTTAGCTAAAGCACAAGCAAACATATTCGATTTGCATGTGGTGTTTCCCCATAATACATAATTACATAGTGCATCGCAACATGTAGGCGGATCAAAGATACTCGTTGTCGATGCGTCGTTGCTTATTGCACATAACCAATGCCCAGAAACCGGTTTGGACCCATAGTTTATAACCGTTAATAACCAAACTGTTTAAGCCCATAACCAACTATACCCAAATTGGTTTCTTCACATACCCAAACCAAAACCAAACTAAAAAAGATTTAGCCTAATAAAACCTGAACCAATCAAACCCAAAGTAATAACCGAACCGTTTCACCCAGTTTTTTAATAACCATTCTCAGATTTAGTCTCAGGTGTCTCAGTCGAGGTATTTCCATTGTCTCCGCCGCACGCACCTCATATGTCCACGGGTCACAGCGAGAACTCATAGCTGGCGTGTGAGTTGCTGCGTGTGCGAATGTGCCGTTCGTTTGATCATGTACCACACCTTGTATCCGCCGAGGCTAAGAACACACACACAATTCGCACACCATGCTCACCACTGCACGTGCAAGTACTAATAACTAAACTAAAAGCACCGCAACTGCTACACAAAACCTGCTTAAAATAAAGTTATTCTAACATAGCCAAAGCCAAGCCAACCAAAACCTAGCTAAATTGCGGTACAGATAGGCACGCGACCAAGCCAGCCACACACACACGACAGGGAGAGCCACATGCATCCGCTCCACGGAACATCCTGACATTCTCTAGTCCCTCTACACCTGGAAAGTACGCGTCGGGGGGCTTTCCTCCCGTAAACACCTCATAAAAATCATTCTCAGGAGGACCAAATCACCCGAGCCCAAGCCAAAACCAAAACAAATACCAACACACACACAGCCAGCCAGCCAGCCAGCCAGCGAAAAAATCCCCCCACCCCGTCCCTCCCTGCAATAGCAAACACGCGGACAAAAAATGGAGGCATGAACACGCCCTCCTCCTCCGTCCGCCCCTCCTCCCCCGATCCCGCCCGTCGGCAGCCCAGCGGCCCCGCCCCCCCGCCCCCTCCTCGCCGGCGGCGCCCTAGCTCGTAGGCGCGCGTGAGGGAGGGAAGCGGCGCGCAGCGACGATGCCGTCGCACTCGGATCTGGACCGGCAGATCTCGCAGCTGCGGGACTGCAAGTTCCTGCCGGACGCCGAGGTCAAGGCGCTCTGCGAGCAGGCCAAGGCGATCCTCATGGAGGAGTGGAACGTGCAGCCCGTGCGCTGCCCCGTCACCGTCTGCGGCGACATCCACGGCCAGTTCTACGACCTCATCGAGCTCTTCCGCATCGGGGGCGACACCCCCGACACCAACTACCTTTTCATGGGCGACTACGTCGGTAGGTCCCCGCCGCCCCCGGCCTTGTCCGCACAAAGGATTCGGTCAGGTCGATCGATCTGATTCCCAGGATTAGGCGGGTTACGAATTCGATAGATCCTCCCCTCCTGGTCTCTGTGGATTGGAAGGTTTGAGCTGGCGGGGCTGCGAATAGATTGTTCACGCTAATGATTTTTATTTTTTCTTACTGTTGTTCCATGGATTGCTGGAATGAATTGTGTCATCATGCTAGGTCCTGTTCTGTTGATTAAATAGGGTGGATGCTGTTTCGGATTAGATATGTCAACCGAGGCAAAATTTATTGAAGAGTATGAAGGGATTTTCATGGGCATGAATGGATATCCTTGAAGTGTTCCTTGTAGTAACGGCGCATTTAGAGAATTGGAGCGATGGTTTTGGACTTTTGTTGCCTCATTAACAAGGCGAAAGGCTGCCCGGTAGAGCGACAAACAGGGATTTTTTTTTGTCGTTATTCGCGTATGCTTTTCCCTGCGTGGCAAGCATTCTCAGAACTGATCTCAGCATGATTACGTTGTAAGAATGACAACCATTCGTCGACTAAGGTGTCGCTTCATTGCCCTTCGATGGTAAGCTGTTCCGCTCGCCTTAGCCATCTAGCATATGGGGCCCACAGAGAATTTTCTGCCGCTGCCCACTTGTCGCTGATACTGGGCTGGTAAAATACATTCCCGTGCTGCTGTGGTGAGGGTGAAGAGAGGGCTTTGCGAGGCAGAAGGTAGGGTTGTGTGATGGTGTCTGATGATGTGAGGATGGGGAGGAGCGGGGTGGCTCCGCTGCTGCGGTGAGGGAGAAGGGAGTGGTTGTGGCAATTAGGTCACAGGAGTAGATGGGGCTATTAGATGATGGGCTTTGAGGTCACAGGAGTAGATGGGGCTATTAGATGATGGGCTTTTAAGCCAGATGGGACGTGGGTATTGTATACCCAGCTCTCAGCCTTTTTGTTTTTGTCTTGTTATGTGCTGTTTGCTCTGTTCCCAAGATTTCTAGGGCGCTAGCGTATTGCCTTATTTATAACCACTTGTAATTATTTGTGGGGGTTGCGCCCCTTACTTTTGAAAACCATGGTGTCTACAGCACATGCTTCCGATGTATTTATGCAGCACACCTATGAATCAGACAAATAAGACACCACTCAATGAGTATCTTTATTAACAATAATCATTTGGTATACATTCGGTAGAAATGCTATTATTTATGCTAAGTTGACGGGTTCTTTCCTTTCTATCTATAATTTGATTAATTTATTTTTCTTTGGATCGTGTTCATTTGGTTCTGTGTTATAACTGCATTGATTTTTATGGACATTTGCTGCAGACCGTGGCTACTATTCAGTGGAGACTGTTTCATTATTAGTGGCTCTCAAAGTTCGTTATAGAGACAGAATCACAATATTGAGAGGAAATCACGAGAGCCGACAAATCACTCAAGTGTGAGTTCCTATTTCTCGATTCTGAAAAATCTTACAGCAGTTGCCAATTGCTAGCTTCAGCATAGTACTCTCTGAATTGTAATTACTGCAAAGCATATTGGCATTATTCCATAAATCTGTTCGAATGGCTGAGTTGGAAATGGATTATCTCCAGACACGAGTATGCTTTGTTGTAGAAAAGGCACTGAGAGGTTTTCGCTGTCAGAAGATTAGTACATATGTTACTTTGGTGTCTCCTGGTTTGTGACTTTTGCCTTCTTTACTTTTAAGTTACTTGCTACTTATTGAAGATTCTTGTCCAAAATCTAAACCTATAACATGATACTTGAATATTATTGGCAAATGGTCTGTTCACACATCGAGCCATATGTTAATTTAATCAATGAGACCATAGACATTAAATTAGGAAACGTTAAGTGTGGAAACAAATCTGTCGGACCTTGCTCCTGTTACTACGTGGGATTGCTGCACAACACAATCTTCTTCGTGATATGATGAATTTCTGATGTGTTGGAGGCTAGGTGTTTGTGGTATTGTTTTGACTAGGGGCAGCTACAGTGGGTCAGGGTTGGGATCACTAAGTATTGCTGCAAGACACATCTGATGGACCCACTGTAGATTATTTGCAGCATCATGATTTTGCGATGTGAAGTAGGACAGAGTTTGGGATATCATGACTTGAGGAGGTGCAGCCGATGGATCAGTGTGTAATGGTTTCAGTCAAATGTACGAACCAAGGTACAATTGTGCATTTGACCCAGGCTCCTGACTTTCTGCACTGGCCAAGCTCTAAGCTTCGGCCTTCGGAAGTGCATGAGAAAAAGTCTGAAGGTGATATATTGTGATTTGACCATCCGAAATGGTATAAACCATCAATTGTGATTTGGAATTTGGCTTTCAATTCTTCTGTCACCCCTAGCTGCTCTTGACAGGAGATCACATCAATTGTGATTTGGAATTTGGCTTTCAATTCCCCTTGGACTTCAACATGAAGGTGAAACAAAACAGCTTATAAATTTGTAGTAAAAGAAAAAAAAGATCTCATTTGCTACATACAAGAAAAATGTGGAAGTAATCATAAGCAGTGTAAACTCTTTACCCAAAGGTTGATAATTTTTTAATTAGTCATCATATCGCTATAACATGACTGGACAACAATGCATGTAGAACCGTAGTTTTTGGCAGTAACTTTATACCATATTGTGTTGAGGCTGCCTGGCTTGCCACCCCTGTATATCATATATGTAACTCTGCTTTCGCTTTTAGAATCAAATAATGGTGGATATCTAGCATTATTTTTTTGACATTATGAATTGGTCTTCAGGCTTCATAGTTTTACATCGTGACATGCTTTGACCCAGTGCAACAATTTTGACTGAGATGTTTCTTCACAGTTTCTATCCTATATTTTTGTGCACCATCCTATTGTTTGAAATATATTACTTATCCATCAAATGATCAAATATCCAATTATCCATATCAAAATTTGACAATACATATTTGTTTCAATTATATCCACTTGTCTCTGTGGTGTGGCTGTAACAAGGTTCCTGTCAACAATCACATCCCGAGGTAAAAAAGAAATGCACATAGCTACACAGTAGCCTGGCAGTTATACGAGTATATAACTAAATAAAGATGCATTCCTTGAATGTCCATTTCTTCACTTGAGCTCATCTGATCTCAGTGAACAGTAAAATAAAAAAGGTGCTAGGAAAATCCAAAAATCTTCTACATTCCTTTCCTTTGGAACAATATAAATCTTTCATCTTCTATCTGATCTGTTATATTCTTATATTTGAAAAAAATAAGTCATGGAAGTATCCAGTAGAACCCATATTTTGGGTTTACACTTGTTAACTCTCACATGATATTTGGATGGACGAGATGGACATATTTAGGTGCACCTGAAGCTCATATCCATGACTCTTCAGTAGACCCGTCACAGACAAATAAGTCAGTTGTGAGGGTGGCTAGCTGACTCCCAGATCTCATTCAATGGTAAATGGTCCATGTGGAGTTCAGATGTTAGCAGTTAATGTATTGTAGGGTTTGTGTTCGCTCTGGTATACTGAAGTAGGTGAACTCTCACATGATATTTGGATGGACGAGATGGACATATTTAGGTGCACCTGAAGCTCATATCCATGACTCTTCAGTAGACCCGTCACAGACAAATAAGTCAGTTGTGAGGGTGGCTAGCTGACTCCCAGATCTCATTCAATGGTAAATGGTCCATGTGGAGTTCAGATGTTAGCAGTTAATGTATTGTAGGGTTTGTGTTCGCTCTGGTATACTGAAGTAGGTGACATAAGTCATAACCTGATGCTGATTTACTTCGTGCAGAGAAGAGATAACTGGCTTGGGTCTGAAAATGGTTATTCCAAGAATACATTTTATCTGCATAACAGTTATATCGTGATCTGAACTTTAGCCTGGGGTGTGCATTGTGCTACTTTCTGAAATGCAAGCCTATCCATAGTGTTCGAAGGTGTTCCTGACAAGTTCTTGGCTACAGGTATGGCTTCTATGATGAATGCTTACGAAAGTACGGAAATGCAAATGTCTGGAAGTACTTCACAGATTTGTTTGATTATTTGCCTCTCACAGCTCTTATAGAAAACCAGGTTTGTTTTTTTCAAACAAATTTGTTGGTTTGCTCTGTTATTATGGACATAAAATTCATTCCCATGTACGCCTGGTTAAAGAAGAAATTTCTATTTTGCAGGTGTTTTGCCTCCATGGTGGTCTCTCTCCATCATTAGATACATTGGACAATATTCGTTCTCTTGATCGCATACAAGAGGTACACTGCATTTTACTGTTTGAGCTGGTGCCTAATATATGGATCATTTTATGCATGAAGTCTGTTGATTTGAACTACTCAATAGACAAAGCAAACATTTTTGATTTGGTCAATGTAGCTCTAGTAGAACAGAACAATGTGTAGATTCTGAATCTTTATTTAGAAGGCCAAAGTCGATCCTTGGGCTTGAGCAAAGGAAGTCATGTGCAGCCCCCCCTTTTTTGCCATTGAATTTCATTTATCTTGCATATGTGCATTGGCACACCTGGCATTCTTCAGAAGCATTTATCTGATGTGGTAAATTTCTCGTCAATGTACAGCAAGTATCCCCGAAGAGGTTTACTATATAGATAATTCGTCTAAGAAGTTACAGTGAATTGTTCTTTCGTGATATATAATTATATTTTCTGCCAAGACCAGGTCGACTAAGTGTTCTAACTGGTTGCAGTTATGTCGTTTGCACAGTTCCCCAGTCCTGCACGAATTTTACTTGCTAGTTCAGTTTTAGTGGGAAAATGGCTTTAAAATTAAAACGTGCAATATGGTTGGTACTTGGTATAGATTGTCGACTTAATATTGCATGAACCTTACTTCATTGCACCTTTGGGTTCAAGAATTTTTGTCTTTTGCAGGATATGTGTGCTGTATTCTGCGTTTTGGTCATACTCTTGACTTTTCTTTTTGTCTGTTCTCTAAAATGGCTGTAGGTCCCGCATGAAGGACCTATGTGTGATCTTTTGTGGTCTGATCCTGATGACCGATGCGGGTGGGGAATTTCACCAAGAGGAGCAGGCTACACATTTGGACAAGATATAGCACAACAATTTAACCATACAAATGGTCTTAGCCTTATTTCAAGGGCCCATCAACTTGTGATGGAAGGGTTCAATTGGGCACAGGTTGGTTTCCAGTGTGTTAGATTCCTTTGGCCCTAATCATTTTCGCACAATTCCTTAAACATGAACATGCACATAGAATTTCCCTTCATCTCTGGCATTTGCGCATCAGACTGGAAAACATCCTTGCAGGAAACTTGAATAATTGATTTGCCTTATGTCGATCACTGTGCAGGAGAAGAATGTTGTCACAGTTTTCAGTGCGCCAAACTACTGTTACCGGTGTGGTAACATGGCTGCGATTCTCGAAATTGGGGAGAGCATGGATCAGAACTTCCTCCAATTCGATCCAGCGCCGCGGCAAATCGAGCCAGACACAACGCGCAAGACCCCCGACTACTTTTTGTAATCGTGGTGTTGACTTTTTTTAACTCTTTGCGCTGCTGGTGCTCCTCTCATCCGCAGCACTGCCTGGCTGGATCTGTAGATCTCTGTCCTTAGAAAATGGGATTCCTTGAGCTGAGTTGTGTACCTCCCTCTCATTCTTTTGTTTGGAGATTTTGGTTGCCGCTTCTCAGGACCTCATAGGACATGTTAAAAGTACATTGCATTGGTATTTTTTTTGTATCTCCATTTTGTATTATTTCCGAGACAGAGAAGGGAAGCTGCAATAGAATCGTCTCGTAACATATTTCATGCTCTTCTTCAGAAGAGTTCCCTTATTTCAGGGAAGTTGTGTTGTCTGGTATGGCCTGTGGAGGATCTGCCTCAAGTGACAAAAGTTGCTTGGTCTGTGTGAATTGTGTATGGGTTTTTTTCCAATGTTTGTGCATAATTTCCTGTTATGTTCTCTTTATAACAGTTCGCTGGGATCACCATGCCAGCACCTATATTAAGATGCATTGCCCGTCAAAGAAAAACTGGAACGTCTGTGAGTCCTTCTGGAGAGCCCATTGGTTAAAAGGAGGGGAATTAAGTGCAAGTTGTTTCCACCAGTTTGCGTCAGAGAGAAACGGAGGAACACCATTAAAAGGCTGCACGACGATGCAGGAGTTGGGTGAAAGATGAGGCCGATTGAAGTCCCTACTGGAATAACACTACTATCGATACAATCCACAAAGTAAAAAAAAATCCAGAGAAGATCAAGGATCAAAGACCTATAATTCTCTGTAGTCTGGTATATAAAACTGTATTGAAACCTATTGACTCAAGTTTATTCTACCAATTGCCAACAACACCTTATGTGTGGCTAGTAACTTTAGAATTGAAATTATGAGTTATATTTAAGTAGTTTTCTTTAGTGGTCATAAAAAACAAAATCCGAAGTGCCCTTGTGCCAGGTAGAATCATTGCAGGTGATGCTCTATTAGCACATGAGTTGACAAATTTCTTGCAACACAAAGAAAAGGCAGCCACAGTCATGTGACCCTCGAGCTTGAGTGTCGAATGTTTTTTTTTAAGAACGTGATGGTAAAGAGGCTTCAACAAGAGATGGATGAACCGTGTTATGAAATATATCCCTGCAGTAAGATATCAGACCAGTGTAAACAATCCCCTTAAGCGGACAAAGAAAGAACAGAAGTTTAACACCTGAGTTAGCATGTGTGGCTTTCTTTCCTCTCTTTCCTCTTGGCCAATGTAAACTTTTCGCTTCCAAGATCCATGGATGAACTTGTCTATTTTCCTCCCCTCCGCTTGTCACTCTGACAGCGGATGGCGAGAGGGGAATCCCACTAGTATTTTAAGTTATTTTTTCAATTCCTCGCGGGCATGGCGCTCGGACGGATAACTGTCGGAGTAAATAGCCATGGGTAGCCTAGCCGGTTTTCCCTGGCCTTTCTAAAAAAATTACGAGCCCGTCCGGCTCTCAGGAATCCAAGACATGGGGCCGCCTTCCCCTGGCCGGCTGTCTCCCAGGCCGGCTATTGGAAGGCGGCCCGACTTTAGCCCTCATGAAGAAAGCCATGGGGGGGCCGACTTCGAGAAGTCGGCCGCGAGGAGGCCGACTCCAGGAAGCCGGCTCCCATAAAGCGGTCGAGACTGTACCCTCAAAGTTTGCATCCACCTAGCGGCGATGAGACGGGGCGTGACTACAGTGAAGCCTGCCACCCCCGAATCCCGGAGCACGCCTGGCACAGTGCGCCGTACGGGTGGCCATGACCTGTCCGGCGCGACACTGTTGCCACACTGACCCTGATGTCATCCACGACGGATTACCAGTACGGCCCACGGGCGGTGGGCCCCTTCAGGCAGAGAGACACCTGAAGGCGGCCTGGCCTCCCCCAGTCGGCCCGAGACGGAGCCGGCTCTCTCCAGCCGGCTTACCACCCCCTCGAAGGAGACGCCCCATTAAGGAGACAAGACGCGGTGAGGCTACAGTTGTCACCCGCCGGACGGCAGCACTGTAGCCATGCTTACCTCGGCGAAGCCCTCGTCACCAAGATTGAGCAACAGTAACCAGCCACCGACAAGGCCCTGGACAGTGGGGCCTGCTTGTCGACCAGGGAGCCGGCAGCCGGCGGGACCCAGCAGCCGGCGGGCCCCAGCAGCCGGCGCAGAAGCCGGAGAGCGAAGACACAGACGGCTGGGCCCCACGCCCAGCCGGATTACCATTGTACCCCGGGGGGTAGGCCTATATAAACCCCCCGGGACACCCATGCAAAGGGTTGGACCCCCAGCTAGTTTTAGACACCACACAAGGAGAAGAAGCAGGCGAGCCGTGCCCTTCTTCCTCCTCCCACCGAACAGCTCAAGGAGCATTATGTAGCTACTTGTCCATCTAGTGATCATGCGGAGACCCCGCAGAGCAGCAGTAGGGGTGTTATCTCCACGGAGAGCCCCGAAGCTGGGTAAGATTCGCCGGCGTGCATGTCTTCGCCTGATCCCGTTTCCAGGCACCGGCGACGTCTTACTGGCTCCCACAACGATAAGCCACCCGTTGGCATATGTCGCACCTACTACCCGACATTTGGCGCCCACCGTGGGGCCAGGTGCACCGTCGTCCGGAAACCTGTTCTGGACGGGAACCCTCTTTCTCCCCCGCGAGCGTAGCCAGCCCGGCACGCCCGACGGCGCTTGCCACGACGCGCTGCAAGGCGTCACCAGTATCTGCGCGGCGAGCAGCCTCGCCAATCTCCTCGACGAAACCCTCCTCTCCGACGAGCTCGCCTCCGATGCGGGCACCGACCACCTCGCCAACCTCCTCGGCCAGCTCCATGTCTCCAGCGAGCCCGCTGTGGATCTGGAGTCGGTTGGCTCCACCGACCCGATGCCTGTCGACTCCGGCACGGCCTCCTTCGACACCTTCCCCACCAACGTCGCGATCTACAACGACCCGCTTCCCCGAGCCGATAGCTGCGACGCTGTCGCCACCGAGGTGATGGTCATCGGCCACGACGGCGCTGCTGACGAGAGCGCCCACGACGCCCCACACGCGGCGGTCCACGACTTGTCCATCCCCCTTCCGGCCGACACCGACGCTGAAGCACTGGAGGCTCGCCGCCTCGCCCTCCTCGCAGAGGGTCGGAGGCTGGCTTCCGTGAGACGCCTCACTGAGGCCTACCAGCGCGAAGCTGACCGCGCCGCCTTCGGTACGCCGGCCCCGGGCGGGCCAAGCCGGGCCGGCATTGTCAAGCAACGCGGCGCCGTCATCGCCGACGTGCTGGGAGTCGACCGCCCGGTCTATGCCACTCCGCTCGAGAACTTGTGTGCCGCCCAGGCGGCCGTGGACGAGTTGGACGGCTTGGAGGCCGAAGAACTCCCCCACATGACCCGGCGCATCCAGCAACTGATCGATGCAGCCGCGCAGCGGCACGAAGCCGACGCCCGCGCGGAAAGCCCTCCCCTGCGCCGAGATCACGGTGCGACGTCCCGGACGCCGACTACGGGCAGAGACCGCGCGCGGCGCGAGAAAGAGCCGGCTGCCAGCCGAAGCCGGACCCGAATCTCCATCAAGCGAGATGCGGACGGCCATCCCCGAGCCATAGAATGGCGGGGCAACCCGCCTCCGCCTCGACCCTGTGGAGAGAGATATCCCACCCCGCCGCCAGTGGCGCACCCGACTCTCAGCGGCCGACTAGGTCGCCGCGAAGGAGTCGGCGAGAATGACGCCCGCCATCGGATCGACCGCCTGGCGCGATCCCTGGCGCTGGAAGAAGAAGACGATGTCGGCCCGCCTTGTTTCGGCCCCCGCATCCGCGACGAGCCTTTCCCCAAAGGGTTCTCGCTTCCAAGAGACACGTCCAAGTACAACGGCTCCATGAAGCCGGAAGATTGGTTGATCGACTACTCCACAGCGGTCAGCATAGCCAACGGCAACCGGCACGTTGCCGTGAAGTACGTGCCCCTCATGCTGCAAGGCACGGCGCGGACCTGGCTCAACAGCCTCAAGCCTCTCAGCATCAATAGCTGGCTAGATTTCACCGAAGCTTTCATCCGCAACTTCACCAGCACCTACAAGCGGCCCCCCAAGCCCAGGCAGCTCTCCCTGTGCGTACAGGGCCCAGCCGAGTCCACTCGGGACTACCTCACGTGTTGGGCCGAGCTCCGCAACTCTTGCGAGGGGGTGCACGAGGTGCAAGCCATCGAATACTTCACCGCCGGGTGCCGAGAAGGTACCCTCCTCAAGCACAAGCTTCTCTGCGACGAGCCGACTACCCTCGACGAGCTTCTGGACATAGCGGACAAGTACGCCACCGCCGACTCCTCAATGAAGACCGAGCTTCGGGTAGACGCGTCTGGAAAAGTACTCAACCCGACGCCCAAGACGCCAGCTGGGGATTCCGGCCGACGCCCACACTGAACGACCACAAGCGCAAGGGCCCCGCGCCGCCTCCCGCCAGTCGGCAGGTGGCCACAGTCGAAGACGCGCTGCCTGAAGGGCGACCCGCGCCCAAGAAGCCCAAGGGCGGCTGGCCGGCTTGGTAGCCGGCCTTCTCCTACGAGCAAACTCTCGACGCCCCGTGCAAATTCCATAGCGGCGCGAAGCCGTCCAACCACACAACCCGGAAGTGCCATCGGCTCACCCGAATCTCCAAAGGCGAAGGGCTCGCGCCGCCTCCGCCTGCCGGCCCGCCGCCTCCGGCTCCGCCGCCTCCGGCCGCTCGGCCCGCAGTCGGAGCCGTGCATGACGAATTCCCCGACGAGCAAGCAACCTACATTGTCTTTACAAGCCAGCCCGAAGACCGGCGCAGCAAACGCCGAGAGAACCAGGAAGTCAGCGTGGTCGCTACCAACCCCGCCGGACACATGCATTGGTCAGAAAAACCCATCAGCTGGAGCCGGGCCGACCATCCAGAGGTGATGCCGTCTCCCGACTCTTATGCATTGGTCCTGGAAGCCACCCTCGCGACGGACAGACGCGCTGCCCGCTTCTCCCGCGTGCTGATAGACGGTGGGAGCAGCATCACC